GAGATGTTTTATAATGAAAGCCAAAACTGGAACTTAATGGAAGAAAATGGAAAACTACGACGTAGAATATTAGCCAATCGAAAAAGATTTACAGTAAAAGCAATAATTACGCATATGCTCACATACGTTTTAAACTTAAAACCTTTAAATAAAAAAATGCATCGCTTTCTCATTTTTTTTAGTGATGAGCTCCAAATTTTCCAGGTTGGAAAGCCTTCTCATTGACTGACATAAAAATAAATCATATTTGGTGAATCTTTTTTTTTTTTTTTTAATGTTTGCAAAAGCTTCATCAGATGTCATCCAAAACGATAAAGTCCAGCCAGCTGTGAAGCACGGTGGCCGAGGTATCATGATATGGGGACCTTCCTGGTCATTGTTTGATTTCATATTGTAATCCTGTAAAGTATCTTTGGGTGATTATTAAATGCCATGCAATTAAAATGTATTAACTTTGTTATTCCAGCTCTGGAGCCACAAGTGGCTCTTTAAACCTCTAACAATGGCTCTTAATACATTTCTAATAAGACCTTTAGTAGTTAGAATAGCTGCACTGAATTTCCAACAAAAGATGCTTTTTAGAACAATTTCTTGTCTTTAGGTTTGAAACTATAAGATTTTTTTTACACAAATATTAGACTGAACAAAATGTATATTATAAAGTTTTGTTTTTCTGAATACTAAACCCTAAAAATTGAAATAAAAACGTAGCTCTTTAAAAATGACTCCATATTTCCTCTACTAAGGGTTTCTTTTTTCCAGCACCTAAAAAATAAAAAAAAAAAATCAAAACATTTGCGGCTCAAAACGAGTTTTGTTTCGCTGGATTGAGGTCGAAACCGGCTCTTTGGTTGCAGAGGAACTTGTATAGTTCAATCTCCACACATTCTTTAATTTATACAGTAAAAGTTTTGGTGTGTAAAGAATGCAGCGACGTCTGGCTCTGCTTCTTACTTACCGGTAAATCACTGCCGTTTTGTTTCCCTCCTGTGGTTTGATCCCAGATTCCCTACGTCTTTCCCGAGTGCGTTTGCATTGAACATTGATCCCAATGTATTAAAAACAAGTCATTCGAAGGATTCCACATTGTTATAAACATGCAGCACCAACCAAACTGACCTCGACTCCATCAGAGGAAATGTTTCACTTCTGCTCAGCTGCTTCCAGGTTTGCACCATGCAAATATTTCATAAGCGTTTGCTCATGTCATCTTGAGTGAAAAACAACAGAAGCACGAGAAAAGGCATGCAGCCAGAAGAAGCACCAACCACCAGAGCTTTTGGTCTCGATTTGTGTTTTATTCATAAACATAAAGGCGACGTCTCTCAGATTTATTTAACAAATGGCTTTATGCGCTGATGAAATTTCAAAGACGTTGTGACATTTGTTCCATTGACGGTAAGCTTTGTGGAAACTCGCAGGCACAGGACATTCTTACATCAACATCTGTGTAGTTATTAGTGTTACATAAGACGTCAGCACTTCCCTTCTGGTTTCCATCTCTGATTTAGGTTTGCATTTCCCACAGAAGGAGAAGCAATAAACCTAACAGGAGTGTGTTATTAAGGAAAAAAAAAACTATCTGGCAAGAAGCTGAATGTTATAAATCAACTTAAGTGAAAAGAAAAACCATGTGAGAATAATTATTTTCGTTAAATGCTGTTAGTGTGTCAATGCTGCAGATTTAACATTAGCAAGTGTTCAGCTCACAAACATTTCTCTTACGTCATAAAAAAAAGTTGTACATCATACGCCGCTTTAAGATGGATTTTATTACAAAGTTTCTGAGGAAGGCTTTAAATTTGTCATCAAATTTATATCTTTTCATTTTGCCTTCATGTCGTCGCTTTAAGGAAAAAAAAAAAATATCTACACAAAAATGCCTCTGAAAAGCACAGACCTAAGAGCATAACAGTAGTTTGTAATCACAGAGTAGAAACTATTTTTAGTAGAACATTTCTGCTTGTAAGCGATAGAAAAGTGTAAACAGGGTCTGAGAGACCAGATGGAGAGAAAAAAAGGAAAACAAAATGACGTTTGAGGGAGTTTCTAGTCGAGCAGGGAGGGCTCTGAAGGGCGGATGATGGTGGGTCTGTTGGGTGCAGCCGGCGGTCTTCTGCTGCAGGAGAAAATGGTGGAAGAGAGGAAAAGGGAAGGGAAACAAAGAAAAAAAAAAAACATGCGAGGGGAAAATGTTACTATTTAGTCATGCAGCGATTGCTCCCAAAGCACCAAAACAACCCCCCCCCCACCAAATAAAACCCCCAGCAACACAGAACGGGAGATACGTCATGCGTGGAGACTTATGGGCTTCCTGGGCCCGTTACCATGGCAACAGGGTCACCTATTGTGTCGGTGTGGATGCAGACGGAAAGCCAGACATGAAACGGGTCTAAATTCTGGTCCGGATTTCTGACCCTGAAGCACCAACGGCGCTTTGAAAGCTTTAAAACGGTGCTCAGGCGTTCAGCTTGCTAATTACCAACAAAAACGTAAAGCTCAGTCTGAATGCGCATCAGACTGAGTCTCAGCTGGACCCAGACTGATGATAAGCTGTCCATGCAACATTTCTATCAGCTCATGTTGATCTGTTCGGAAGATTTTCTCAGGAACTTTAAATTAATCTGAAACGGGAGCCCAGATGGTACGGCCTTATCTAGATGTTTACATGATGCACGGAGCCCATTGGGCTTTTAATCGTTATTAGCTTAGCTTCATTGAACCCTTTATATTTAGGGTGTGATAATGTTATAACATGCAACTGCAATTGATAATAAAAAAATAATTTAGTTTAGAATCTGAATATAGCCTTAAAAAATGCATTAATGCTCATTATTTTACTTGTTGATGCTAATTTTACATTTTCGAAGATGGGAGTCTGGCTTTTTTATTATAACATTCAGTGCTATGTGTTAAAAATTAATTTTTGTGAACTTCCTGAAATACCACAGCATGATGAAACCAGGTCAGGTGACATAATTATTGCATTGGTAATCATTTATCGTGATAAGAGTTTTGACTGTTGTAACAATAAATTTCAATTAATGATGTTTGAAACCCCACAAACTGCCCATGCTGTTAGAAATGTTGTTTTTACTATTTTCTTTGTTCAATGAGAGCGTCAATAAGTATCAATCAATTTGAAAATATGATTAAATACTGTTACTGCGTGCAGCTTAGTGATAGAAACGGCACTTATACATTACAAATGGGAACATTTTTCAGTTCCAGTATGTGTGCTTGTGATGCTATGATTGCTGTGGCCCTAAAAAAGTAGGAATAAATTCCTCTTATTGTCACTTTTATCAATAAAATATTTCCCACATTTACATTTGGACCAAGAAAGAAAACAGATGAGATGAACTCATAAAAAAAAAAGGCAAGTGACCGTCCATCTGCCGAAAGGTCCTCATGATACGTCACAACAAAACTCTAAATCACGTAAGGATGTGTAGGGGTGTGTGTGTGTGTGTGTGTGTGTGTGTGTTTCCATCTACCTGGGAATTCCCGGCGGCAGAGCTGGAGGCACGCGGGGCGGCCTCGAAGGAATGAGGGGCACGGCCGAGTTGGCATCGTACGGCGACGGAGCGCCGGGACGAGACGGAACGGGCGGCGCTCCGAACGCCGGCGACGGATTCAGAGGAGCGGGCGCACCCGCGGGGGTGCCCCTCGCCGCCGGGGGCCGGTTGGGAGGGGGTGCGGTTGACGCGAGAGGTCGGGACGCCGCAGGAGGACTGGAACAAAGAGCCAGGTGTTGCTTTTAACATTTCATGTTCATCATGGATAATCTGAACAAATCAAAGCCGTTTATTTTCTAACTGCATCGCAAAGAAAGGAAGAAGCTGCTGGTCTCATAACTGACAGCCCTTTGGTGCCCCCTGGTGGACATTATGCATTATGATAAAGGCAGTTTGCTCTTGTTTACATTTTCAATAAACAATAAAAATCTAAACAAAAAGAAAAATTGTAACACGTATTTTTTAAAATTAAATCATGAATCCTTAATTTATTCACACTTTTTACTCTTACACTAATACCAGAGTTTTAGTCATGCTCACCTGAATCTCTTCAGATTTTTTTTTTTAATGTTGAAAAAATTATTAATTTTTCACCTGCATGTTATATGCGAACATGACAAAAACAAGAAAACGCAAACATTTCATCACACTTTTACTCTGCATCGTTTTTGTTATTTATTTCTATTGCAGCACATAGAAATAAAAACATGTTGGAACAGAAATATGTATTTTATCAATAACTTAATATTTCCTAAATAAATTTTTTTTTAAGGTTTGTTTTTGTCTAATCTGGAGACTCACCGTCCACTGCAGGTGAAGCTTTGACCATTAAGCAGGTTGAAACCTGTCTGAAGTTAAAAGTATTAAAACTTTTCACGCATTCGTTTGTCTAACATTTGTCACCTCGCTTCTTTGGCGATCCAAGTGTCGTCTACGGGTGGCGGCACCGGCGTGGAGATGGTGGTGGTGCTGATGTCTCCGATGATGACGAGCGCCTCCTTCAGGGCGTGGTACATCCTCAGCATCTCGTCCCTCCTCTGAGCCTTCTCCGCCGACTCCTCCATCAGGCTGCCCTGGTCTCCGGCCGAGTACAGGTAGGCCAGCAGCTCCGAGTGGATGAAGTCCTTCGTCTGAAGCGTGACACATTTATTTTAAAAATGTAAAGTGAGGAACGTCGAGCACCTCACAAAGTTATTCTTTGGTATCGGTTTTTACAAATAAGGACATGTTTCATTTTCAAACTCGACAGCATCAAATTGTCATGCAATTGACTTTGAAACGATTGAAGAAAGAACCAAATAGGCGCCATGTTAGGTCTAGATAAATCATTAAATCAATCTTCCCAGAAGTTTACGACTTTCTTCTGGTAATAATGCATCTACTCTACTAATACTTTATAACATAGAGACTTTATTGTCTCTATGTTAGCAATTCAAAAAAGAAAGTCTTTTAGTTTGGCCCTATTAAGCTTGTGTTTGTCACATTTAAACATCAAAGTCACTCAAAAACAGATTTAAACAACAAATTAAACCAGCACTAGTAATGCATTTCACTTTTTCTGCAAAGCTTCATTGTTGATGCTATGTGCTCAATGGATCAGCTGATTTTCTGCAGAAGCTAAAGAGGAGTGAAAACACCCGTCAAAGACAAGAAATTAGCAAATATTGTTAAGAGCTTTTTTTTTAAACATGTTTTCAAAATACAGTCAATAAATATTATAGCTGAGTGCACTTAAAAGAGTTTTATACATTGAAATCCCAATGAATGTCTCTGGGTTTGGTAAAATTTTGTGAAGAAAACGGAAACCAAGTGCGTTTGCTTGTGTGCGTCTGTGTTTGGCCTCACTGTGACGTTTTCCTCGAAACCCGTTTAAAACGCACCAAGCAGAACCAGCTGGTAGCAGAAATGTTCAGCTTAACGTGGAAAGAAAACCCGGGACGTACGTTGTTGATCATGAGGTGCATGATGGTCTTGGGCATGAGGTCCCTGATGGACTTGTTGACGATGCTGATGTACGAGTCCACCAGGTTGCGGATGGTCTCCACCTGGCGCTCCAGCTGTGGGTCCATGGACACCGTGTCCCCGGGAATCATGGCGTCCTCGTTCTCGTGCTGAGGGACACCAGAAGCGGACATCACATCACCCACGCAAAGGAAACCTTTTTAGGAAAGTCAAAAGAGAGTCTGAAAACTGAAAAACAGGGGACGTCTCGACAGCGGTAATCTCTTGAGCACCTGGTCTTTCTCTGGGTAAACGCCGGCTCTGAGGAAGGAGGCCTTCCAGCTGTCCACGTCTTCCTGGGTGTCGCAGGCCAGCTCGATCTGACGCAGGTCTTTGTACACGTTCCTGTAAACGAACAGAACCGAAACATAAAGCTTCAAATCCAACGAGTTTAACAATAAAAAAAAAAAAAAAAAAAAAAAAAAAAAAAAATTTGTCCACCCTTTTTTTGGGTTTAAAATAGCGAAAACGGGTCTTGCGGGCAAGAAAAC